AGAGATCGAAAGTATTTTCCCTGATGAATTAGTATAATTATCATATTGTAAAGAAAATCATATTGTAATAAAATTTGTTCAAATCTTTATAGTTATAGAATCGGTGATACGGTTAGAGCAAAAAGAAGTCAATAATTGATAGTCAGATGGAGGTATATATCCACAAAATAAATGAAATTTTGTTGAAGTATTGCCACCCAAAGATCCTCAGCTTCGGATTACCACTTTTTTTAACAAAACTTTCAACTGACTTGTTAACAGCAATCAAAGTGCCAGCACCTCCTCTTGACTTAATGCTAGGCGTTGATTCGCGGTCTCGGCAATGAACATATTAATTACTGAATATCACTTCACTATTCAGAACATGGTACGTATCTGTAAGAAATATAATATAGTGATCACAGAAAATGGTACTGGAGTATAATTTGATAGCTTCGATTTCAAACATCGTACATTCTGGTAGTATATAAATAGCTCAGCGAAGGGAACATTCAGTATAAGTTTTATAATGAACAATACAGAAAAGAGACCAAAATCACTGTATTTCACTAGTTCGGACTTCCATTGTCTAATATATGAAATGATTTGAAATCCCTGAAACGACTAAAAAAAGAAGAATTAAAAATGAATAGCTGAAAATAACAATTATATTAAGCAAAAATAACCTGAAATGAAATAATAGTGAAATAAAATACAAGTAAAAATAGAACGATTGAACAAAAAATAAAGAAATAAAAATGAAAATAAAATAAAGAGTTAAGAGATTCCAAGCCACGTTAGTTCACGACGTTTCGATTGTTAGTATCTACAATTGTCTTCGGGTGATGACTGGACTGATTCCTCCGAGAGATGACTATTTATGGGTCGATACTATATCTCTTATCGTTTACGAGATCCCCATGTACAGAAACGAATTTGAATAGCCCTGTATAACATGTACTGAAATTCTCCAATGGGCTTTCGTTCGTTAGATAAGTTTAGAATAAGTATTGATCAAGATTTTATATATTTCAACTATTGATTTTACTCTATTCTTCAATTGCTTCACCACGTTCAAACTATCGCCCAGATAGTTTCTGTCGTTTTATATGTGTTTATTGAAGTGTTTTCTATTTCAACTTGTACCTCAGCAAATTTATTTATGTCAATAAATATTCATTCATTTACAATAATTTGTGTTTTCACAAATCCTATTATTTTCAGTATATTAACGTTTTGTTCATTATATGTGTTCATATATTTTCATTTCAGACACTGGAAGTCCAAATGTAAACCTTTCTGCCGTCAACTTTCCATATGGCCCCGTATATTAAATGACTCTTGAAATTGAATTCCTAACAAATATCCACGTGTATTGAAAACTTGCACTGAATGGTTTCACAGTCAAATCAAGACTGCAATCGAAGGAATTTTAATATTCTATCATCTCATCCAATATGAATATATAATATTTGACTGATCGAATCAAATCACGATTTCAATTTGGTAACGATGCAGTCATGTCAGATGAAATTATTCCCGCTTTGGTTATGGATGGAAATTCAGAATAAAGTCACGTTCGACCTATTGACACCTTATTTATCGACGCTGCAGAACTACCCCACATCCATTAAAATCGCTCAAATGAAATACCAAACTTGGTGCGGTAATCTAATGCTTCTGTTTGTGGCTTTGAATATCCGGTTCAATTTCAAGCGTCCTATCACTTGTAATTTTTTTTCTGTGGCAATATTTGAAATTTTACTTTTCATGAATATATATAATAAATTTCGAGAAGAAGTGAATAGTATCAATAACAGGTTCAGCAAAATTCATATGGTCCTCAAAATAATAAGTTTTGCAAAATATGTATAGAAGAATAAATCTGTTTTTAAGAAAATCCGTTTTTCCGCTAACCAGCTGTCGCACTCCTACGAACGACCACCCTCAGAAGTCAAAACTAAGGATTAACGAGGTATTACCTTTTAACGTGTGATTCCTAACACGGGTTGAACGATAGCAAGTGAAAATCGATCGTTCAGACTAGGACTTGAACCACCGACCAACACGGCAGTCGATTCGAGTGAGTGAACAAAGCACCCACGTTGAACCGCCTGGCTACTGACTGATAATTTTCTCACTTTATGGTTCATGAAAAAATCAATTTCTGAATGACGCTTTTCTAGATGAGGCCTGAAGTGGATTACAATATTAATAGTGAAAACAGTATAACTGGTATAGGAATGCATGCTTTCACGGCTGGCGTCAATGTTTCGATTGGCTTCCAGGTTTTGCCGTGGTTTTCTTTGGTTATAATCTCCAAACGTTTTAACCGCCAACTATGGCAGTCATTTTCAGTGGCGTGGTCGCAGTACTCTTCTTGATATGTCAGTTGACACGTCAGGAAGTGAAGAATCCTGCACTGACACCTGTCGGATATAATCCAACGCCCTTCATGGTATTAGCCAGGGGAATATTTGTTTTATGATAGGTGTCAGTCCATTAACTCACAGTGTAGGTGAGTTGAGACTGACCTGAACGAATTTTTCTTGTAGATAATTTGATAGTGAATTGGGTATACTTAGGATAGATTGCACCGAAAAATTTCTGGCCTAGGTTTCCTACCAAATTACAACGTGGAATCTATAAATAACATGATTTAGAATTGTCTCCAGATTTTCTTATACCCAGTATCAGAAAAAAACTTCAGGTAAATTATTATCTGACAGTGAACAAACTATTTCAAAAGTACCTTCATAACAAAACAAACATTTTGAATTGGTTTTGCTTTAATACTGAACGTACCAAATACCAAAAACTTTCTCTCGACAAAACAGGAGACAAAATGCAACACTATTTATGACTGGAAATTAGTGAAATGATTGTATGATCGTTTTCCGTACTGTCATCACAAAAGCAGACTTGTCACTACCAGTTTGATGAAGTCGTTACTTTACACGAGAAATGCGTGTGTTTTCGTTTCCAAAAATTCAAATAGATGTTGATGTAGAATTGAAAATGAAAATGACCCATAACTGCAAAAAGTACATCTTAAGAATTATTAATTTCCGTGTAAGTGATGAATGTTTCAGTAATTATTAAACGATCAGATTCACAAAAGTCTAATTGATGAAATACTTTGAAATGATTTTTCTTGTAATTGTTCTTATACATAATTCAATTTATAGCATGTCTTCAAGTATGCCCACTTAGTTCATATAAAGTTAATCCTACTGCGGCATATTTTATGAACAGCATAGCGTTGACAGTCAGCGACGACTGGTATGGTTGAAGTACACGATATTGTGAACATTTAAAACTGGCGGCACTCTCAAAGGCCAAAAAAAGTAATACATAGAAATGAACCGGCTGTGAAATAGTCCTCGTGGACAGCAGAATTGACGGTTCGTATTTTACTAACCGAGTTTTATGATTGTCTGAAGAGTCATAAAATTAAATTTAAAGTCATGTTACGGTGACGAATAGAAATCGGAAAATGCGGGGATGATTATCGCCGTCGTGTTCAGTTCAGGAACTGATCGCGATTTCAGTGTTTTGTATTCGATATTGGTGCAGTTATAATTGCTTGAATTTTTTTTTATCTGTTTAAAATGTGGCGTCGTTGAACAAATACTAATAGTAATAACAAGTGTGATAACAACGCAAACTTTCAGTGTAGTGATTCCAATAGCGATGGTGAACAATGCGAAAAAGAAACAGATATCACTGAATAAGATTCGGATGCATTTGAATACTGTAACACAGAGAGTATATTTCAATGTATATAAGAATCTACATCTCAAGTTTGCTTCCGAAGGAAACAAAATATTACAAGCATCATCAGATTTGACCGAAATTCCTTTCTTAACTGTACGTAAAATAGTCAAAAACAAACCTTATGAACGCAAAAGGCGATGTGATATGGGATTACCCAAACCTTCAGATATTCATCTAACAAAATGATTGAATGATAATAAAGAAACTGGATTTGGATTTAGAATAACAAACAAACGTCAAGCAGTTATGGAAAGTAAAAGAATAGCGAAATTGCGTAACAAATGCTTAGAACAAATAACTAAATATAGACAAGAACAACGGCAAATTTTTTAGTTGGACGAAACTTGGTATGACATGCACTCACGACACAGTTACGAGAGGATGGACTGATGGTTCGAGAATGTGTACGCCTAACATGCCTGCAAACAAAGGAACGTGACTCAGTATTGTGTATTGCGGAGAAAGGAAAGGATGGGTTCCAAATTCTTTGAAAAAATATGGGAGAAACTTGAGAACTGCAATGTTGACTATCATAAGAACATGGAAGCTAATATTTCTGAGGAATGGTTTGAAAACTCATTGATCCCAAATTTGGACGCGAATGACAACGCTTCAGCTCATCAAAGAAACGAATGAAAATTCGATTCGATGAAAGATGAAATACAAAGTTTTTAAATGGATAACAATTTGTATGTTGATTACTATATCAAAAACCAACTACTTGAAGTTTCACAGACGAAAACATTTGAAAAAGTGTATGCCCTTGAGAGTATTGCTGAAAAGTATGGACATACTGGGAATTTCCCCCTATTTTTGTGTTTTCAATGCTGATTCGGGGAAAATTGAAAAAAAGCATCAGGCGTAAAAATAATTTTCCAAAATCTGATAAGAAGTTTATAGAGCTAGTTAAAGGAGGAGTATCTGATATTACCGAAGGAGAACGGCAGAAAAGGATTGAAAAAGTAGTTTTAGTTGAAAAAGACTATATGGAGATTGAACGATTCCATATTAATGTTGAAAATGAATTCATTATTGATAAAAAACATTTCGAGTTCTTATTTCACAATGATGTTCATTCACACCATTCAAAGTTTGATGGTAGCAAAGCATCCTTCGACGCTTCAAAATGTGATGGAACCGAGAATCTACACATTTCTAAACTATAATTGGGAAAAACCATCGATGTATTATTCCTTTCAAAACAAAATTGAATTGAAATAGTTTTCAACAATGAAATATCCCACTGGTAAAACAAAACTCTTCATCTATTCTGTACATTTCAAATATTCTGAATGTATATACACAATCATAAATTTACATGTCTGATTACGTTTTTCTATACAATTTCAAATATGTGTCTAGGTGAAAAACGCGATAGGTTTTGAAGTGCTGGACCCAATTCTTGGCTCAATTTCCCCAAGGAGTGAAACGAAGTCTTTTCTGTGCACCTGAACCTGAAATCGGATAAAGAATGAATGACAGCGGGAAATATTTATCATTGTCGATGTGAGTTGAAAATAAAAATAAGATTCATGTTTTCAACGAGAGAATGAGTAGCACTAGCAATATTGATTCTGTCCTGACAAACTGAACAGTTATTAACAACTATGAATAGTCGAAAAAATTTGACATGTAGCTTGAGAATAACCATATGATACCATCCTAACTAGCAATTTTATATTTTATAATAGTTGCAAAAACGTTTCATAGAAAGAAATTATAAAACTGTATTTCTTTCAGAAATGTTTCCAATGTGTTTACAAAATAGCTATAAGTAGGAAATTAGCACTATTTTATAAAACATTATAGTCTTCATTAATATTTGGTACTATAAACTACAAAACCTTTTATGAATATTTCGACAGTTACTATAACATTTTTCTAATACTCTCAAGAAGTAGCTTTGTAAAGATACTTATAAAATAATTGAAATAAAATTAGTAAATTTTTCATAAAAGAGGCGAGCTACTTCCTGTTGTGTTCAGGTTTCATCTCCGTAACCAATAATTTGTAAAACTGTTATTTTATGCATTTCTGTTAATCTTACCGTTTCTCAGACTTGAAGTTAACGGACTTCAAACTCAAATTAAAATGCTGACAACAAATATAACATACAAAACAAGTTGACAAGGCGTTTCAAAATAACGTTGCCACGAAAATTATTAACAGTTTTTAAAGGATACCATCTTAAAAAAACCTTGCTACGGTTTTTACTCACTCTCTTATTATCAATACCTCGACATGAAATAAGTTTTGAGTATATTGCATTAAGTTTTGAGTGTATTTTATCGAATTTCAGTTACCACAAGATTTTAATTTATTTTATCTTAATTATTGCTATAAACTTGAAAGCGATAACATTTTTTAATATAGAATGAAGAGATCTTTCAAACGATATAACACAAGCCTATACATTCCATCAAAAAAAAATGGAGGTTGTAGGAAAGAATGTGCATGAACGAGCCAGGATTTGAAAGAGCCGATGTAATTTTCTACCACTTACCAAAATCTTACCATAATTTGATTTTAATGTTTGCATGGCAACACTGATTGGCTGTTATCCACAAACATTTAACAGTTCTGCGAAAACGAATGGCGTCGGTACACCACATCAAAGATTTCAGGACCAAAAAGTATTTTTTTTTGCGTTCACTCAATTTGTTTTACAAAGAAAAGTGCAGCATGAGTTGATAAAATTGATATGTTGTATCGTTAGGCATATATTTATCATTATTTTGCGATGATATTGATGTCATAATGTTTACGCGAAATAGCTGTAATTTGATGTTACAACTTAAATGACAAAATGTTTTGAAAGAGCCACTTGTGGAGGCTTTGAAAGAGCCGGCACCAGGATTCAGCACTGTTTCAGCTCCTCCTAAAATCATCGCTGAAAAAAGGTCAAAACCAATTGGACAAGTTACTTCTGCTGATATTTTCACCTCATTGTAGCCATAGACTCCAACCTCTGGATGTTGCAGTTGACGGGCCTTTCGAAACATGATATTGAATAGTTATGAACGAGTGGATTGTGATTTGAGACTGATAAATAACTGATTTTCACAGAAATGAGTAATTTTACAGTTTGATAAGATTTATATAACAGATAAATAGTTTATTAAGTGATTTTTATTTGCTTAAAGACTGTTTTTTTTGTAAAGAGAAACACGGCTCTTTCATAGCACATGCCCAGCTTTTTCATACACATGTTGCTTTGAAAGAGCCAATTTTTTTTTTAAGTTGCCATATTACTAATTTCTGTCATTGTATCTCATTTTATTTTGATTGGATAACCATGACTATTAAACTAATTATTTACAAAAAGCAATTTTATTCAATAACCATCACCTGACGTTAATTTTTTTTAGTGTTTTTCAAAACTGGCTTTTTCATACACACTCTCCCATACCTGTAATTCGACGGGAGCTGAAGATAGGGTAGCATTTTCCGGTTGAAGTATATCAAATTATAATTTAAATTTGAAGTGTTTCGGGATTTTGTTGAAATATGTACCGTAACCAAAATAATGAACTCATTCCATTTGGCTTTTATACACTGAATAATAAACTAACAGATAGAAAATTTGAAGTCATTTTAATAATTTCACTTTTGTACTTATAAAACCTTTAAACACATTGTTTGTGCTTCATTGATTGATATTTCAACTGCGAATGAAATTTTACTGAGTAAAATTCAAGCGCGCCACTTTTTCATTAATGTTTTTGGAAAAAATATTAATTACACTGTCATGTACTCTGATTGGAAAAAGTAAAACGGTGACCGCTTTCTTCAAACATTTATTTCTGAATGGCCAGCGATATGACCTCGAATCGCATTCGGGATTTTTATACTCCGGTATGCGAGTTTTTATTGTCATTAGAAAAACTTGTGAATATATCACATATACAAAAATTTACTCTGTTTACGTATTAATGTTCTAGTCGCAAACTTAACTCAGTTTGTTCTAAATAATATAATCTCATAAGATCTATGCACTTTTTACTATAAATATTACTATATGTGCGGTATTTCATATTTTAAACTCTTCTAATGTTAGTATGCCGAATTGCTATCATTTTAAAATGGCGTCATTCAATAAAATAATATATACAATCATTTAAATCGACGGATTTTAATCATTAATACCCTTTTTCTGTTCTCAGCAAGAACAAAATTGAAGCACTAGGTTACGTGGACCTTTAAACGAACTACTTCTCTTAATTTTTTTCCAATGACAAATATTACACAATATTATTGGGTATATAGTGATTGGGACGCTAGTCAAATAAAACTGTCAAATCATACTTCATTACACGACCTCTAAAGTCGATGTGGTTTTTCTCAAAGGTTGCATTTTATTATTGGCGACAGCAAATATATATATATTCACAAAAGCAATTTGATTTTGTAACAGTTATTTTAATGTTTTGGAATTTTAGTAAATATACCATACTATAAAATAGTTGATAATCATTAAAGTAACAATATGGTAATGAAAAAAAATTGTGTTTGAAAGCATTCCAATAAAATAGTTTCATTAAAGCTACCGAAAGCAGTTTTAAAATAAGCTTGAAATATATTTACAAAGATCATACAAACCTAGCAGAAAAGTGTTATAAAATTTCTAGAAAATGATTCACTTTTGAAGGAAAATATGTTTTGTCTACTAATCATTACGTGTTTGACAGCAGGTAGGTAATGACTCATTTAGAATACACGTGTTTTCTGAATTAATGGTGGCTACTTCCATAAAAAATTCAAAAACATGATCATATATGTGAGTTTTGTTATTTCCTGTTGATGAAATGGAGTCTAGTATTGATTATTTAAAACTGTTTATACTTTTTAACATTCGTAATGATCGTAATACATGTAACTATAACGAAGACGCCGCCATTACTAACTTTTTAACAGAACAGCATCAATTGACATAAGACGGATAAGACAGTGTGTCCAAAATGCTAACTCTTACACACCCCTACAATTTAACGAACTAAATATTCCTAGCATAATGGGTACCTGCCCTATGAAAAAACACAAAATTGAGAAGAAGATTACATAAACAACAAATATCATTTGTAACCAAAAAATTCAACAAGTTTGTTAAATTGAACAATATGTAAACCTTTGGTCAATAAATCAGTTTCTTGAAGTTCTGATTCAACATACATTAATTGTATCAATCCTTCACAAAGTACATCTTGCACAAAACTGATTCTTATATCAATGTGTTTCAATTTATTTTCACATTTACTTTGTTTAGCTATGTGGATAACACTTTGATAATATTCATTAATTTGGGTAGGAATAACTTGTATTAAATCAAATCCTAAGTCTATCAACATCTTTTGTAACCACATCACTTCTAAAATTGTTATGCTTGGTGCAATAATCTCTGCTTCACAAGAAGATAAAGCTACACAGTTTTGTTAACGAGACGACCAAGTTTCCGAAAACTTTGATTACAAAACCAGTCGTAGACTTTCTTGTGTTTATATCACTGGCCCAATCAGCATCACTAAAACCTTCAAGAATATGAGACGAATTACATTGGTACACTAATTTCAAATCTTTAGTCTTCTTCAAATATCTAAGTACACGTTTCAAATGAGTCCAAGTCTCCTCTGTCGGTTGAGATTGAAAACGACTCAGATACGATACCGAAAAACAAGTATCTGCACGAGTAGTCACAGTGAGAGAGGTTAAACAATCAATAATCTCACGATACGGCTTCACGATACGGCTTCAAGTTTAAATTTCAAGTTTGGTTTTATAGGAGTAGGTTTCACTTCACATTCAAACATGTTGAACTTGTTCAGGAGTCTCTCAATGAAATTGGTTTGCCTTAGTTTCAAAATTTGATTTTCAATGTCACGTTCAATGTTTATTTCTAAAAAAAACTTGGTTTCGCCCATGTGTTTCATATCAAAATTTGTAGATAATGATGATTTAACATTGTTCATTTCACTCATGTTATTACCAATAAACAATATGTTATCAACATAAACAAGGACTAAGTGGGTTTCCCATTGTGAGACCTTTGCAAGATGAGTAAAACTTGTCATTGAATTGGAAGTAATTCTGTGATAAACATACCGTAAGCAAGTCTAATATTTCATTTTTCACTACTGGATTGATAGAGTTTTTGTCCAATAGATTCTCCACCAAAGTAATCGTTTCATTCGGGGGGATACTGGGGAACAGATTCTTTACATCGGAAGAAATCAATTTGGCATTATCCGGGAGAGTAAAATCTTGAATTTCATTGATCAGATGGTATGAATTCTTCAAACTGAATTTTGATTTGAAATTGGTGTGGTTTTGAATAATTGCAATGAGTTTTTCGGATATTTCAACTGAAGGAGCTGTGACGAAAGAAACTACCGGTCTTATCGGGTAGTTATCTTTGTGTAATTTAACCAATGAATACAATTTCGGTGGTTGTGGATTCATGACTAACGATCGGAATTTTTCCTTTTCATCCATGACACAATGAATATTTTTGAAAGTTTCCTTGACATCTTTCTGATATAAATGGGTGGGGTCGTTTCTGAGACTATCGTACATGCCAGCATTTAGAAAGTCTAAAGTCTTCTCCACGTATTCTTCTTTGTTCATGGCTATGACCGTTTTTCCTTTATCAACTCGCGTAAAAACAATGTTATTTTCTGCCGATTTCTCTTTTATGGATTTCACTAGTTTTTAACCCAGAGAAGGAAATTAGATGTTTTTATTCGGAGCAAGCCACCAACGAAAAAGAAAAAGGCCAAAGACAGTGAACTATTTTCACATCATAGGTTCTTTGACAGATTTGTCAATCTCACGAACACTAGTTTCACAGAACAGGAAACTCATCTATTAGAAAAAGGTCTCAATTACAATATCAAACCCAACATGAATTCGACAAATTTAGAAGTCTTGGGAATTGATACAGATATCGCGTTGATGGGGACATGCTACGCCAATAAACATATTGCTGTAGAAATTTTGAAATCTGAAAAGATGCATAAAGGTAGGTTCAATCCGGAATTGAAACTATACGAATTGAAACAGGACGAATCTATACATTTTCTGGATTTGACAATAG